GTTACCAAACTGCTCTTTAGCACCAGGCGTCTAGAAAGCTAGCACTAGCTTAACTAGACAAAGGCCGAAGCACCATAGTCACGCAATACAGCACAACGTACCAAATTGTAACTAGTCAGATAGAACGGCCTTTGGCCAAAGTCCTACATAGCCAACGGCTGATACATGACTATAATGGAATAATAATAATGGAATAATAATAACAAATGGCTTCCCTCCCAGACAGGGACATTGCACGATTTTCTGGCTGTACATTCAAAGATGATGCAACATGAGGGTGACTATTTGACCATGTGCAACGATAGATCGGTTTATGGATGTAGTTCCTACGGGCAACTAACGTGCGAAAAGCAAGCTCGCATCCAGAGCCCATCTCCCAGGTACTTGGGTAGCCAAGATCTCCTTCGCATATTCAATATCCACACACACGTATCGAAGACAAGGATTGTTTTATTTGGATAGAAGGCACGGCCGTGCAGGTATTATATGCGATATGGGACGGCCGTTCAGCCGTAGGCGTAGCGTTATATGCTGACGCGAAGATGCAATCGAATCGAGCAATGTCTAGGCCGGGCAAGGCAGGTATGCATGTCAATCTGCTCACGGACACGTTAGGCGTGCAAAAGGCCCCAGCCAGACCGAGGGTGCCCAGAAAAATCATGCAGTCCCGCCCTTTCAATTCCGCGAGGATGCATTCCAGCTACCAGCCAGCGCCGTGCATGTGGAGGATCTGTGTGCGACCTCGTGTTGGGCTTTTTTTCGACCTGCCCTTTTGGGTGCGCCGTTTATCCGCCACAAATTAGTCCATGGCTAGCGTGAGCTGTGTGTGGGCGCAACCAATCAGAACGAGGGCTTGGCGGAACTGCACACCAAGGATACACGGCCATGGACGCCAAGTCGGTCCATCCAGCGACTCTCAAGTGGACCGAGTTACGATAGGACAACACGGAAATATGCTTTCTAGTAACCCACCTAGGACGAGCTTGTTTTTGTCCCCGCGGATCTAGCCCCAATTGGGCAGGAGATATGGTGCAAACCGTCCATCTTTTGACGTCTATGGATTAGTACCTACTGCATTGCCTACGGAATGATGGCATCGTCACTTCAGGTACCGCTCCCGAAAGGACGTGGCCCGCTGCCCGGATGGCAACATGCCTTGCAGCAGGGGTCTCGGACTCAGTTCTCTGTACAAATAATCTGCATGCCCTGCATGGCTTTCGTCTGGTCATCGACCTCGTCCAATTGAGCTTTTACGAAGCTGGTCGCATACACAATGGCTCGTTACCTCAGTGTTGCCGCAGCATTGGCTGCTACTGGCGCGTGTGCGTTCACACCCGAGTACGTTTTTTTTCTGCAGCTACATAGTCCCAATGATAGAATGCTAATAAACCTACAGGTTGCTTCTTAGCACCGTACGTCGCGCTGCCGCCGATCCCAGTCCAGATGGCTCAGTCGCCCTGTTCTCGTACACGCAGTACTCATTCGAGAAGCATGCGCGCACGGCTGGCATGAACCTCATTGATCTCAAGACCGGTGAGGTCACCAAGTCGGGCCTCGACCCCAGCGAGGTCAACGAAGTGGCCTGGATTCCTGGTACCGAGACTGGCATAATCTACATCAATGGCACCAACGAGGAAATCCCAGGTGGTGTCACCCTGTGGATTGGTGATATCAAGGACCCAAGCGCCAGCACTCTTGTTGCTTCTCTGGATGCACCATACTCTGGCTTGAAGGTCGCCAACACCTCTACTGGTGACTTGCACTTCTTGGTCAACAGCTTGGCCTACCCCAATGGCACTGCAGTCAACCCCGAGACCGAAGTCAAGCCAATCTCAACTGCCCGTTACTACTCGGATATCTATGTCCGCCACTGGGATACCTGGCTAACCAAGAACCGCTACCAGCTCTTTGCTGGTACCCTTTCCAAGAACAGCAGCTATGCTCTCTCTGGCGCTGGCGTGCGCAACGTCCAAAGTGGTATTAGCTTCACCACTACTCAGCCTGAAACTCCCGTTCAGCCTTTCGGTGATTCGAGCGACTATGACATCAGCCCCGATGGCTCCATGTATGCTTTCGTTAGCAAGGCTCCTCAGCTTAACAAGGCCAACTACACCGCATCCTACCTATACGTCGGTGCCTTTGCCTCCAACGAGGCTCCCGTTGCTCTCAACGGCCCTAACTCTGAGGCCTTCAAGGCTGGACACCAGGGTGCTTCTGGTCTGCCATCCTTCTCCGGTGACAGCTGCAAGCTTGCATACGTCCAGCAAGACGAGGACTACTATGAGTCGGACAGGTTCAAGCTGTACACCTACGACGTTGCTGTCGAGGGCCAAGGCGTGGCTGCTAGCAACTGGAAGAGCCTGAGTGAGGGCTTTGACCGCTGGGTGCAGGGACCCATTACGTGGGCCCACGACGACTCTTCCATCTACGTCACTGCTGATGACTATGCCCGCGTCAAGATCTTCAACTTCCCAATCACCGCAGATGAGAAGTTTGTTCCCGAGCCACTGACAGGAAACACTTCCGTTTCCGCATTTGCTCTGCTTCCCGACGGTTCACTGTTCGTTGCCGCCACCGCTATCTGGACTCCCAGCGAATGGTACATCCTCGCCGACGGCAACAAGAAGACGCTTCTCGACGCTTCCCAGGTCGACCCCAACCTGGCAGGTCTCAGCTCCAAGACTGTCTCCGAGATTTTCTTCAACGGCTCCAACCCCGAGCTCAAGCAGCAACTCCAGGCTTACGTTGTCAAGCCCACCTTCTACCAGGAGAACGTTACTTACCCCCTCGCTTTCCTGATCCACGGCGGCCCTCAGGGCAACTGGGGCAACAGCTGGTCAAACCGCTGGAACCCACAAGTCTGGGCCGACCAAGGCTATATCGTCGTCGCACCTAACCCAACTGGCTCTACAAGTTTCGGACAGTACCTGATCGACTCTATCCAGGGCGAGTGGGGCAGCTGGCCATATGAAGACCTGGTCAATGCCTGGAACTACATCAACTCCACCATGACCTGGATCGACACCAAGAACGGTATCGCCGCCGGTGCCTCGTACGGTGGATACATGACCAACTGGATCCAGTCCAACGACCTCGGCAACGAGTTCAAGGCCCTCGTCACCCACGACGGTATCTCCAACACCGAGGGCGCCTGGGCCTCTGAGGAGCTCTGGTTCATCCGCCACGATTACGCCGGCAACATCTGGGACTCACCCGCCTACCGTCAGTGGAACCCCCAGAACCACATTGCCAACTGGTCCACTCCCCAGTTCGTCATCCACAACACGCTCGACTACCGTCTCCCCGAGAGCGACGGCATCAGCCTGTTCAACATCCTCCAGGCACGCGGCATCCCCAGTCGCTTCCTCAACTTCCCTGATGAGAACCACTGGGTCCTCAAGCAGGAGAACAGCTTGGTTTGGCACACTGAGATTTTCAACTGGATCAACCACTGGTCCAAGGGTGAGCCTTTGAGCACTACCCCCATTGGCAACTAAAAAACCTGTTGCTAGTTGAGACTTGTTCGCGTGGCAAGATAAGGCTTGCTATGTAGTATTGATAAATGTCTAATGATACCTATTGAGGACAACTTTGTTTCAGTCGTTGCTTTTCTCGTGAAAAATGTATCCGCTGCGATCGTGTCTTATTTGAAGAATCGGCAAAATCCATGAATTGATATCTCAACAGTGCACCACACGCATCTCTCCAATCCCAGAACTACGCCCTTCACCACCAACACCTTCACCACACACACACATATATATACCCTAGCCGCCCCACCACTAAGCGCGCAGCGCCCGCCACCCAGGCGCCCGGGTAACCCACGGGGCAAGCAAAGACAAAACGCCCCCCCCCTTGTCTCCCCGAGACAAAAAAAAGGCCCATGTATATCCGTGCTTGTCCTCAGGCACCCGCACCTCGGTGCTTCCCCGCTTACCCTTAGTTAACCGCTCTTCCCTTCGCATTTCTGGGCGGAGAGGAGCTTGGCGGGGCGGAATGGGGCGATTGGGATGGATAGGGTGATGCGGGATTGGGTTGCGGGAATGGTTATTAGCTAAGGGAGGTTGGGCCAGAGTTAACATGGTGGGTGCGATGGAGGCGCTGTAATCGACGGAAGCAGGTTTCGATTGAAATGCTGGCGTCGATAGGGGTGGTGGTGGTGAGATGGTGGCTCAAGGTGATGGGATCATAAGATGATCATGTTGGTGTTGGCTGACCAGCAACACACACAGGCATCAGGATCGAGAATCGATATCTAGGCTTGTGTTTTTTTTCTAAAGATGTCGAGGCCAGCTTATGATAACGAGGGCATGACTCGTGGTGTTCCTGTTGTGGTGGGGAAGTTGCATGCCAAGCCTTCCATGATGATTCTCTTGCAGCCACAGCGAGGTATAGACGGCAACGACGGGAATGCCGTTTACGCTCAAACGGCTTGAGTTTTGACTGTCCTGGGCGATAAGGGCTTGTTGGGTAGGCAAATGATGCTGTGGCTGGGAAGGGAGGGGGGTTGCCCACCTTCATCCTTCGGCCAAGCCAAAATCCTGCTCATTGTGATATTGTGTGGTGAGTGACCATGCCCTCATTGGGGCATGTGAGCGCGTGATATTCCTCGTTTAGGAACTGCCAGATGCTATTGAGAGGATCGTCCGACCAGACAACAATCAACCAACTCTTGTGCCAAGTCCACGGGAAAGCAGCGGGTCAAGCCCGCGGTGGTTTCATAGCAGAAAAATATCTCCCATGATGTTGCGCCAGGTAAAGCTTCCGCCGACAAACGAAGCCTCGCCGTCAGCCTGCTCGGCCATCTTGACCTGTTCTGTTAAGCGGAGATAAGCTTGAGAAGGGTCGGCGCCGCGCCGTACTGCATAACCCCCCCTTCTCGAAACTCAACTGGGCAACCATTGGAGGATCCCTCTCACAAGGAATATGAATACATGGCATCAGGCCATCGAGCTGCCTGTTCGGGTATGGCCGAGTTACATTGGGATGGCAGCGTGGCTGGCTCGTGAAGTGCCACAGACCGAGGCGGATATGGTGGGTGGAGAGGGGCAAGACGAGCGCCCAGCGGCGCGGAAGGCTGGGCGCCATGGCAGCGCGGCGGCAAAATTTGCGTCCATAGGACACGGTAAATTGCGTTACATACTACTGTGTAGGACGACTACATAGTAGCAGCATTGGCACTTGCTTCGACGTCCAAGTTTTCTTTTTTTTGTAACTGGTCTTGGTTTTTCCTTAGTACGGGCCGAAGCTGAAAGCTTCGCGATGACGCCCGCACTGGTAAGCTTTGGTTATCAGCGTCACACGGGAACTGTGGCACAGCGCGTGTTGTCACGATAAGAGAAGAGCTAGGGGGGGTCTCAGGACACACGAGCGTGAATGGCCGAAGCATCTATCTTGCAGGCGTTATGTGTGGGATCGGCAGCGTCGCCAAGTTCCTAAGCACTGTATCCAAGTCGTCGCCTAGGCCGTTACACCCAGTCCCCATTGTATCTTGGCTCCAATCAACACCTATGAAAGCGGTGAAAAGCTTAACTGCGTGGTTGATTTCGGCGTCGCCCCCAATTCGCTCAAGTCACAAGCTGGTGCTGAAGGCGGCCAGCGCAGGCGAGCCTTTGGTGTTGGGTCTTGACCATGGAGCAGGTTCCCACTAGACTGGGCACCTGGACACCTGCTTGATAGAGGAACCCACAAGGAATACCAAGACCGCGCTGGGTACAAGGGCTGCTATTTGCCGCTCGTTTACTACACACGAGACGGGAATTCTCGAGTATAATTGAAACCGAGTTCCCGGTCCCCTCGCAGGAAGAGTAGCAATCAGCTCGCTCCTCTCATCACTCTTGTTGGAATTTGCGACTACATCTGCTAATCATGGCGGCAAATGCTGGCTCCAACGACGTTGACATGGCCATGTCTCACAAGCCTGAGGCCGCCAAGCCCCTCTATGAACTCGATGAGAAGCGTGCCCTCTCTGAGACCCGCTCGCCTTCGTCCAACGACCACGAGTACCCAGGAGAAGTCTTTGAGGCTGACCTCGAGGGTGAGGAGCCCACCGCAGAGGAACTGAAGACTCTTCCTCGTGTTTCTGGAAAGATTCCATGGACTGCCTTCACCATTGCTTTTGTCGAGCTCTGTGAGCGTTTCGGCTACTATGGCTGTCAAGTACTGTGTAAGTTAAGATTGAATTGAATTTCTTAATCTCTTCACTGACTCTCAAAAGATACAAACTTCATTCAGCAGCCTCTGCCTGTGATCGACGGTGTTGTGCAGACAACCGGTCGTGACCCCAGATCAGAGGGTCAGCCTGGAGCACTTGACATGGGCCAGCGTGCTTCCTTTGGTATCGGTCAATTCAACTCCTTCTGGGCCTATACCACGCCCATCATCGGCGCCATCATTGCTGATGAGTACCTTGGTCGTTTCAACACCATATTCGTCGCCATCGCCTTCTCAATTCTCGGTCACATCCTGCTCATCATCTCCGCCATTCCCTCAGTCTTGACTAGCGGCAATGCCATTGGTCCATTCATTCTCGGTGTCATCACTCTTGGTTTCGGCACTGGAGCTTTCAAGGCCAACATCTCGCCTTTGATTGCTGAGCAATACCGCCAAAGCAAGCCTCGTGTTATCATTGATCCTAAGACGGGTGCGCGTGTCATTTCGGACCCCAACATCACCATCTCCCGTATCTTCTTGTACTTTTACATGGTAAGTTGCTAGTCAGCCCAGCCAAGAAAAGCTCTCGCCCTAACAATTGCTCAGTTCATCAATACCGGTGCTCTCACCGGCCAAATTTCCATGGTCTACGTGGAAAAGTACGTTGGTTTTTGGTGCGCTTGGTTGCTTCCCACAATCATGTTCTGCTTATGCCCTATCGTGCTCTGGTCATGCCGCAACAAGTACCACCGTACCCCGCCCACCGGATCTGTCCTCATCCGCGCCATCAAGCTTTTGAAACTCGCGGTCAAGGGCAAGTGGTCGATCAACCCTGTTAAGACGCGCAAAAACTTCAAAGCCGACAACTTCTGGGAGGATGTTAAGCCTAGCCACCTTGGCAGCAACAAGCCAAGCTGGATGCAGTTTGATGATGCTTGGGTCGACCAAGTCGCGCGTGGATTGAGGGCTTGCTCTTGCTTCACTTGGATCCCGCTTTACTGTAAGTCTTTCTTTGGGCTCAGCCCTTTTGCCAAACTCAAAAACTAACAATGTGAAAAGGGCTCTCATACAACCAGATGAACAACAACCTCACATCACAGGCTGCTACCATGACACGTAACGGTGTCCCCAACGATGTCATCACCAACCTGAACCCCATCTCTCTCGTCATCTTCATCCCAATTGTTGACAATTTCCTGTACCCAGCCCTCCGCAAGGCTAATATCCGCTTTACACCCATCAAGCGCATGGCTTTTGGTTTCATCCTCGCTTCCTTCGCCATGGTGTCCGCAGCTGTTATCCAGCACTACATCTACCAGACCGGCCCTTGCGGCAAGTTCATGAACAGCTGCGACGACCCAGCCCCCATCAACGTCTGGGTGCAGTCTGTTCCCTACGTGCTCGTCGGTTTCTCCGAGATCTTCACTTCCATCACCGGTCTCGAATTCGCTTTCACCAAAGCCCCGAAGAACATGCGCTCCCTTGTTACGTCATACTTCCATTTCATGAGCGCCTTCTCCAACGCCATTGGCCAGGCTTTTGTGTCACTGTCTGAAGATCCCCTGCTGGTGTGGAACTACACTACCGTTGCTATCTTGGCCTTTTGCGGTGGTATCCTCTTCTGGTTCCACCAGCGCAAGACCGACAAGCAGGAAGATGCCCTCAACATGCTTCCCGACTCGACTTATGTCGGCCCAATACGCAAGCGTGTTGGCGAGACTGAAGAGGGCATTGCGGGACACAACGTTGAGGCGCACGTCAGGACTTAGGTTATGCGTTGTAATGAACTTGGGATGATGAATACGCAGGTTGTGTTTATGTACATGATGCTGTGTGTGGCTTTCATACGATTGTAGATACCTAATTGCTTTTGTAGTTGAGCATGAATGAGCTGAAGCTCTCACCATACTAAACTAGTCATGTTTACCTTGTTAATTTTGGCATGTGAAGTGACTGAGAGCTAACCAGAAGATGTCGACATACGAAACAGAGATATTGTTCGTACCTAGTAGTAGATCAACGTATATTTCGTTCTTGTCTAGCTCGTTCCAAAAGGTCAAACCGAGACGATTATGATGGAAGCCGTCAAGTTTAGAGTAAGCCAATAGATATCGACATGTTCCTGCCTCGCTGCTATAGGCTTTGGCAAAACCTCTGGGTTCTTTTATGTTCCCTTGTATTGTCCTTAATATGACATCACTTCTATTAATCGACACAGAAAGAGCCTTGTTCCTTGCATATCGCCGTAGAACTAGACACAACACGTTTAGCTCAACTTACCCTTGCATATATAGCTTGTTCTTTACTGGTTCGTCATGTATGCAAAGTCATGTGAATTCGCACTGTAGAACAGCATCGACAATTTACCAACCTGATTGCCTACACTGATGAAACATGGAACACAATCCGCGATTCACCAAACTAAAGGGACACATTACCCCAGACATCACTAAAAGTCTTCAATACATTTATCATTGAAAATCTTGAGCTTTGAAGAAGAATTTGAATTCACTCCACGCTAAACTTGTTTCTCATTCACTTCAACATTCACCAACCAAATCGCAAGCCCCAAGCGACTCCTCTTCACACCTCACCATTCACCGCCCACTAAACGCCTATCCCACAGTACAGTCTTCTCTATAAAAAAAAAGGATCAACAGCGCCAGCGAAAAATTTCCCCATACTACATCTAATAATCACAGCCATTCCGCATCAACACCACTAACCCAACACAAATCAACACCAACACAACAACGTCCGTAAAAGAGAAATGCCAAACCAACCTACTCAGATCCACGAAGACAACCCCTCCTCCCCTCCCCCCTCCTCCTCCACAACAATAACAACAACAACATCAACCTCCTCAATCAACCCCACAACTTCCATCCTCACCCCCCACCAAAACACCCTCCTATCCACCTACCTCCAACACCACCGCGCCGAAACCCAATGCATGAACCTACTCGTCTCCCTGGACATAAGCATAAGGCGCGAGCGCGACGAGCCAGGGATACGGCATCTAGAGCGGTACATGGCGAGGGTGAGGCTGCGGTTGGTGGGGGTGAGGGAGGAGAGGCGGAGGGCGGAGGCGAGGATTGATGCGGAGGTGGAGAGGTTGAAGGGTGTAAGGGGTGTGGAGGCGAGGATGCAGGTTGAGGAGATTAGGAGGGTGGTGGGGAGGGGGAGGGGGAGGGGAGTGGAGTGTTTGCGGTAGATGGGAGGGAGTAAGAGGGTTGTGGGATGGCTTGAAGAATGGTGATGATACATTTGCGTGGAGTGTTTGCGGTAGATGGGAGGGAGTAAGAGGGTTGTGGGATGGCTTGAAGAATGGTGATGATACATTTGCGTGGAGTTATTTGATGGGAGACTTGCATGTGTGACTTTTTTTTCTTTCAATTTGTCATGTGTGGTTTTGGGGTCACTCTGTTTAATTCAATGCATGTTTTTCTTTCTCAAAAACAATATACATTTATTTCATTAAGGGTGGTCGTAACAGTACCAAAATCGCTCTGATACTTCATAACTTAGTGTACAAGGGGGTATATGCGGAGGGCTGAGGGGAAAGTTGGGATGAGTTATAGTACAGAGTCAAAGTACATGCACGAGAAGCGCTCAAAATACTTTTTGAAACATTAAAGAAGTGAGATTTTGCCATCATTAGGGTGAGTGGACTTTGTTTTGTTGCCTTGAATTTTGCTCAGCCATGGGTCCACAAGACTCAAGCAGAGCGCTCATCAAGGCTATTTTGGGAGTCGGACTGTGCCTCTTCAGTGTGAGGCTGCGAGATCTCACCGAGACACCACATGCATATCTCCCTGACATGCGTTGACCCGCAACAGCACTGCGCCACATGGTCAACATATGTATCACGGAGAGTCGTTTCTTCGTTTTCGTAACATCGTAAACAGAGCCATCGGTCGAGAAAACGACTGCGAAGGCTGCACTGGCACTGGTGAATTGAAAGATCCGTTCGTTGCTTTGGTATGCCTGAGGGAAGATGATTATCGCAAAACCGGCGTTTTCTTCCTTCTGTAGTTTGGTATAATGATCGGAGAACAGGTGATGGGTGGGCTACGTTTGAAGCCACTGGTCCGGCAAATGTGCATGTGCCAAGATCCAAGTTTAGGAAATCGTCGACGCACTCGGGCGGGCCGAAGCTTTCCTCCTCAAGGGGTACATCAATAAACCCCTGATCGTGGTAGGGCGCAGTTGTGGCAGGTGATGGGGCTTGCCATTGTGGTGTAGTGAGATCATCTTTCAGGTGGTGGGGGCTCAATATGGGTATCTCGGACGGCGAGAGAAGGATGAAACCGCTATAGTTGGGCAGCTCGTCATCTTCGCATGGCTTCTCGAAGATACTCTGGTATACACAATGGATGCGGCATTCGTTGCAAGTCGTAACCTTGCAGTTTGTGCAGGGACGAGACTCGGCGACACCGTCTATTGCCCCACATTCGACGTATTCACTGCATTCGTATGCATAGAAGAAGGACGACTTGACATGTCGTTCTCTTCGTATCCGGACACCCTTTCCGGAGCATCTCAACTTGCCAAGCAAGTTTTCTAGGCTACCAGGTTGTGGGACAAGTGTCTGGTATATAGACTTTGAGCACAACAGGAGCGCTAGTAGGTCGTCGGGGTAAAGACAAGAAAGGACGTTCTCAAGAAGACCATACTCTCGCAGAGCCACTAATAGAGGACAAGACGGTGTTGACCCCGCGGCGCTGTCCTGTCGGCTCTTCTTTCGCTTCTCGTGCATCTTGTCTGACGATCTCTGGCGCTTCAGTAGTCTTGAGGGCGTTGTCTCACCGCACTCCCCATTTTGGGATTCACAAGACAGCGTAGGCCCATTTACGAGCATCTGACTGTCTATTGATCGAGGGGCCATAATGATCTTGAAGCTCCTGGAAAGTGATAAGCAGGGGTATATGCAGTATAAAAGGGTAGTGCAAGGCCATCACGGACCATGCAGTTCATGATGACAAACCACACTACTGGACATAGGCTGGGGATTTGATCATTTGGTAGAATGCTTCCGGACTGACGTACTTCACTTTGATGTCGAAACGTATATGCAGCTTCCCGCGCCTCGATAAGCGCTTAAAAGCTGGTCGACTCCAGGCCGGGGTCCATGTTATTGTCGTCACGTTTTGCCGGTTTGGCGGGTATTTCAGAAAAAAGACGCGGTAGAGGCAGTCGTCTGCTGAAGTATAGACGTGATGGTTTGACAGGTTCGTTGGCGCGTAGTGAGGCGTCAGTAGTGTCAAAAACGGTATTACAACAGTGTTGTTGTGGGGACAAAATTCGAAAATCATCGGACCGGAAAGTGTGCCGGAATGAAACGGAACTTCGTTCCGATGACTTCCGAGCGCCAAATCAGCCCTGATGACATAATCGCACCTCGGCCACTCCAGCCGTTCACCCGTTACAAAACAAGAAAATGCCACTCACCCTTCGAGGTGGCAGTCAGGGTGAATAGCTGTATTGGTGCAGACCCGAGATTGTGCCTCTGGTGAGAATTTTTATTATCTATCATAAGCTCAGGCCGCAAAGTTTCAAAGTGCACGGTTCCTGTCATTCGGCCGTTTGGCTTAATGTGGTTGGCAATTGGGCAGCACGATTACACAAATGGTACTGCCAAAAATATATCTTAGAGACTAATATTGTTGCCCAACAATTTGGATACGCATGGGCTCTTTGCTTGCTCTTCATCCTGAGGGACCTTTCATCTGCTCCGACATGTGTCCCACCAGGTCTGTTCTAGACCATCACTCAGTTCTTCTTATCGGGGATAGAGTAGCAGCATCCGATATCGAGCACATTGTAGAAGGTGCAATCCCGCTGTACCCAAAAGCCGCCTTTTTCGTAACAAGTTGCCTTGGTGGTGCAGATTCCAGAGGGGTCGGATCGTCCGCAGGGCGCTGGGTAGGGATCTGAGGGAGCCCCTAAAGCAACAGACGTGAGAGCTGTGACAAGGAGGAACTTCATGTTTAAGATGAATTAGGCTTTTAGAAATTGGGTTTGAAATTCAGGGAGTAGTGTGGAGATTGTATCCCTGTGATGCACTGACTTTGATTTTGTGCAGATGCAAAAGTGAAGCTGTTTAAGTACTGTATATCCTTGTCTGAGACGCCGCTGACATGATCGCAGCACACTTGTTGTGTTCGTGCTACTATGCAAGACGAGGCAGGAACGGCTGCAATGATTGGGCATCCAAAGGCAGTGTGGAACATATCCGGTTCATGTTAGTTCTTGGCCATAGACCGTCGCATTTAGCTCCAGTTAGCTGGGCGTGCTGTATATCGAGTCCAACCCCTCAGCCAATACGTTTGCCAGACGTTCGATCATCGACGCATTGCTCGTATAGGTATATTATGTCGGGATGCTTAGCGCGTCGGTTAATGTGGCTTCCCCAGATTCTTGTTACTCCAGAACGCATGATAAGGCACTAGTGATTCTACCATAGTATTGAGACGTCAGTATGTATGTGCCATTCATTCACATGGCAGAGGCTGGTATAATCAAGGGAGCTGAAATCGCAGCCCCTGTTGGAGTTGCGTGATGTCGTCGACCCCGAGGATTTGCAGCTGTTGGGACGTTGTTGAGAGGACGCCACGTTTAGGGTGGCCATGACCACCATGGAATACGATGTGTAATAGCTTTCAGGAGACAGGTATCAACTCCTCGGAGACGTGGTAGGCCTGCAGGTCAGTCGCAAACCCTGGTCAAAAGCAATGTCATGAAAAATTCTTCTGCTGACCATGGCAAATTCAGGCGATGCGTGTCATTTGGTGAGGCAGAGCTGGATGCACGAGACATGGGATATCAGCGTGGCAATGTGGCGCATGCAAGGCGAAGGGGGGGTTGTAAAGGCACGCAGGCACAGGGATGGCGTCTGTGTTTTGTAGTATGATGTACTTGGTAGTAGCACAGGCTGGGGCACACGTGGTGGCACACTACTCCAGGAACACGTGCACGTGCGTTATCGCTGTTATCTGTGCCAAAGTCATGTGACATGCGAACGGGCATGGATGGTGGCGCGGCATTTATGCACGCACACACATCTTCTAATTTTGTCCTAAGAAATTGGCGCATACTAGAAGAGTAAGGAAAGATGACCGGCACGTTCTCGGCTACGTCCGTTGCTGCAACTACTCGACAAGCCCATAGTAGGAGTAAGCGGTGCAGGGCCTGGGGGTGAGTACGTCACTGAAACACGTTTTGGTGTGTGTATCGCCGCGATGCAGCCTTTTCTCCAGTGCTAACACACATGTAGCAGCCAGCAGCGACGCCCGAATGTAGCCGCGCATCCCTAGGCTTAGAGGCGGCCAAGCATGAACAGCGTCGACGAGGGCGGCATGGGCCTGCCAGTCGCCCTGGGGCAGTGAGTCGTGGCGTGGTATCAGCAGCAGGCCGTCTGCAGTGTGCAGGGAGCAAATTTGTTCCAAAAAGCTTCTAGAAGGAAAGTTTTTCGGGCAGTCGAGGTTGCATCGGGAGCCGGTTGGCGCCGACGGTTGCCCACACGCTTGATTGGAAGATGCCGGCGCCCCAATGTACAGGGGGGTCGCCAGCGCGCAGGGCCTTCTCCACCTTTTGTTCTCAGCATCAGCCGCATGCCCTGACCGCGACCTCACTTCATAGCACGGCCATGCTATGGTCGCTCTCCCGCATTTCTTTATCAGCTTCCGACAAACCTCCCAGTTCGTCTCCACACACTATCCCATCCCCATCCGCTGCCTGGATAGCCCTACGCTATCTCCGCTATGCCGACTTGATCACTACTGTCCACTCTCGAGCATTGCCCTTCAGATCAGGCTAGAACCTTGGCTATCAAAATGGCCATGGCTCCACGAAAAGGCACGCGACGGGCGTGTGACCCTTGCTCCGTCAGTACGTCTCAGTCTCGGCTCTACACACATGCTCACAATTGACCCTCTCCTCCCTCTGTCCAGGAAAAGTGCGCTGCGATGGCAACCAGCCCTGTGCAAGGTGCGAGGCCGCCAAGTGGGACTGCACCTATCTCAAAACACATGGAAAGAGCGGCCCCAAGGGACCGCGCCGGACCACTGAAGCCGCCATTAGAAGACTGCAAGAACGCAGCAAGACTGGCTGTGATAGATCGAGGAGCGCTAGTGAAACCAGCATCGATACCGGCAGTCCCGTTGACGAGCTGCCCTACATCTCTCCAATGCCTCCCTTAGGCGAACCAAGCACCTATTCCAATGGATGGCCTGACGTTATGAGTCCCACACTCTCCAGCACTCCCCAGGAACCCCAGAGGATACCGGTAGCCTGTCTCTCGCAGTATCTCGAAATCTACCAGGCACGTGGCTATGGCATATGGCCAGTTGTTGATGCCGAAACACTAACTGCACGACTCTTGACCCACCCTCACGATGTAGAGGCCTATGCACTGGCCACTGCCATATGCGCCGCTATTGTGAGCCAGTTCTCTATTGATGTTGAGCCGGGAAGTCCGGTCGAAGGCCCTTACCGCGTCTCGAGCGGCGCCTTCGAGTCAGAGGCAAGAAGAGCCAGAGATGAATCCGATCATCTGGAAAACATCACCATGTCGTCTCTTTTGGGCAGTTTCTTCTTGCATGTTTACTCTGCCAACGTCGGCCGAATGAATGCTTCAACCGTCTTGCTCGGAGAGGCCATTTTCAAAGCTCATGTCCTTGGCCTGCACAACCCAACGCACTACCAGATCATGAATGCAGAGCAGACACAGTATGCTTTACGCGTCTACTGGCTCCTCTTCATCACCGAGCGCGCCCATTCCTTGCAGCACGATGTCCCGACGACACTCAAACGCTCACCAGATCTTCCGAGCCTTCAAGACTTGCGCGATGGATCTGTCACGCCTGCATTCGTCCAGCTCTGTCGACTTTTCAATATCCTCGATGTCACGATAACGGCGGACCCCGCTAGTGCTCGTCGAGCACTCGCCGTGGCTCAGCACCAGCTGAGCAGTGATGAAGATCCCCGCAGTCTCGAAAACGAACTCCAGCGTGCTGATATCACAATGACACAACAATGGATGCGTATTTTTCTGTGGCAGCATGCGCTCAATGTTACCAACCTAAGCAGTCAACCAAGTCAAGATGAAGAGTTTTCGTTTCGTTTCCCTGCCAGGGTGGCACAAAACGTGCTCAGCAATTTAAGCAGTCTTTCTCGCGAAAGTGTAGAGGCGCATGGACCTGGCATGGTATGACCCAACTACAGTCAAGTTACTTACTCTGCTAACTTTTGCAACAGGAGTCTAAGCTTTTCGACGTAGCAAACTCACTTGCTGACGTTATGATGATCATGCCGTCACTAAATCATGAGTCGCATTTCGATATTGGTCCTAGAGATCTCATGCATTCGCTTTCTCAAGTGCTCGCTGGCTTTCGAGGCGGCAATCCTGCTGTCATAAACATACTACAAGAGAAGCTCACTGCGCTTGGGCTCAGTGTTGGATCTCCACAAAGGTTACTGGAGCTCTCTTCGCCCGAGGAAGAGCAGGACGAGTACCAGCCTAGGCCCATGCGAGGCTCGTCACCATATGGGCCACTTGCAAACGACCCGCCGATAATGTCGCCTCTTCCACCTCCTATGAGCATGAACGGTAGATATTGATCCATTTCTATGCTTCCAAGATGCACAAACTCATAAATCACTGGACGTTGTATAGTCTCCGAAAAGAAGCGTCAAGACAGTGCGGATCGCTGATTGGTTCGTATCCAATGTGGCGTACCAAAACTTTCAGCAAGATTTGCTCGCTTTGACAGAAACACTTCAACCATGGCGCATGGGGTTTTCTGCGGTAGCTCAAGAAACTGATATTTGACCGATGGGTGGCCGTAGACGAATGCCGATGACAAGCTTCAATCACAGGAATCCCGCGAACACCAAGCCTGGCATGCCAGCGACCTAAACCCTGAACGGTACTCAGAGTGGCTGCACAGTTATACCAAAATGTTCTGCCTAGCTCTGCTCCCAACTTTGACGTATTGGATCCCCGAGTATGCAGTTACCAGGACTTTCGACAGTCCCCTATGTGCAAGCCTTTCCGACACTCAAGCTTGTCCATATTGGCAGTTGGGAAAGCCGCCCAATACACCAACATAGATGTTGATATTCATGCTCAAAAAGCTCATTAGCTTTAAATCAGCATACGGTGGCCTTAATGCTGTTTCTGTCCACGGATGATACTAGGGCAACTGAGGCAGCTTGCGTAATCAAAGGCATTCTGGAAGATCCTAGCCTCAACCAGCCGCCGATCATTACACTAGTGAACCACAGGCACTGGAGCAAGGCTATATCGTTCACTGCAGAACGTAAGCGCCGAAAGTGCCCCTTCGGGCGGGTGGGGCACTGTATGCTCTTACGTGCCATTGTTGCGTAAACCTCACATAACAAGCGGGCAGTCTATCTGGGTTTGAAGCAACTGTAGAGGCCAAGGGAAAAGCCATAGAGGCTAGTACTGATCAAGACTCTAGCGGATCAGCCCGCAGCGCTCTCCAGAAATCGCTTCTAGGGGAAAGGCTCAGTCGCGGTGACCATTGTACTTCGTTTTCAGAGTCTTCTCAACTTCATTGAAATCTCTCAGCTTTATACTTTGGGTCACTCTTGTTCTCAGAGTCTTCATCGTCATACGGCCCTATTTTCTTTAGTCCGGCAGTGTAAATTTTCAAATTTTTGTGGTGAACGTCTTTCCCATACCCCGTGACCGTTTGGAGTGGCTTCTCTGCCGCTCCACCTCAATCTCCGTTGGTGCGTTGAAGTTCCCGCTTATACTCCTCATTTCGCCTTGCGATTTGTAGTGCGATGACGAAGCTGTGTAGTAGGATCCAGCTGAGGAAAGTCTCTCTGGACGATGAGATGGAGCACAATACGCAAAGCACCGCCTTGTGTATGTCCTTCTCAGTTGTTCCTTTTCGATGTATGATAGATCCCTACACATGACCTTTAGTGCCCCTGAAAGACCGCTTGAGCTTATTCTCCCCTTCTACACCGATATTGGTCGCCTGTACGCTTTACTGTGTGAGCTGCCATTATGCGAATATGGCACCGCTCTCATGAGGACAGAGTTTGATGAGCTTTCGCGTTTGTTTTGTTTGCTCGCGTTGCTACCTGAAGTGTGGGGCTAGGTACGTATGTGAGGGGTGAAGACGTTGTTGATATAGATCGTATCTGACATCGTCAGTTGGCTAGTAGCGACACGTGGATTCGATATAATTTCAATAGAGGAGATCGACTTAATTATACAACTGTCGTTTACTTGCACGATATGGTCGTGAGAAGATGGGCGAGTACATGAATGTAGCAGATGCAGTCCAGCGCCAAGCAAAGCGTGACGATATGCAAAGTGAAAGCGGAATCCCTGTGACCAGTGATTGTCAACACTCGCGCTCACTGCGAAAATCTGGCCGCCCGTCGTGTGCTAGCACATTGTTCGATGACTCTTTTTCATATTTGTTTTCGCTGCAACCCAAACACACGACGCTTCAGTCATTACGAAAACAACTCGACCAAAGCATTCGACCCCCAACTGCGCATTCGAGCTGAAACGAGAACATGGCACCCTCGCCCACCGATCTGGGCACAAGGATGATGCGTAGTCTGTTGACGCGTGGCGACAAGGATAAAGTACCCGCCGAGCTCAAAGGAGCGCTCTCGCTACTACAACTGTCGGATCTCGAGGGACTCGAAGAGCAGTTTCTCGCTACCGATGCATTTCTCAAGCCATGGGCTGTGTTTCGCGATTCTCTCTTTATTGTGAAGCCTGGTGCAATTACGGCCGCGACTGCAGTTGTTACAAGCGATGGTGATAGAGAAGGTATCTCGCGCACGGACTTACTGTGGTTTTATACACAATTCGACCAAAACACGTATCGCCACCATCCCAGTGTGGATACCAGTAGTATATTCTGTGCCATCGACAAGCAAGACTGGCGTGTTGAGGAGTATGAGAAGCACCTCTTCGTGTGGCTGCTACAGACGTTCAAAGTCGGCAAAGCGCACAACCCGTGGGGATTCGATTACTTTCAACTGCGAAACATTTGCACTGCTTGGCAAGCAGTGTTTGTACCGATTGTAGATGCAGTCCGTGCCTCATACAGTATCAAGGGTCGCCGACACTATGGGCGCCTCGCGCTCTTCGTCGAGGAGAGATGCTCCTCTGGTCTTGCCTTCCCCAAGGAAAACGTCAACATCCCCCCGGGCAATCTGATATCTTCAACTTCTTATCGCGTCTTACTCATGCCAAAGGATACCAACGAATCAGGTGTGCTGACACGAAAGCATTACGACGAGACTGAGAAGGAACTTCGTTCTGTCTATCCCCAGTACGGCGGCTTAGTTGAACGCCCAAGGTTCAAACAAAAGATGGAGGTGTGGCTAGAGGAACAACGAGCGCGGGCAAATTTGAGAAAGGCTGTTGAGCGGCCTAATGAAGCCAAGCATCCTCAACTTGATATTCTCAAGCGCGATGACCGTCGAACTCCGGTGAAGAAGATACTCTCAGGCAAGCACGATATGGACCCAGAGAAAGATTGTAGTGCCAGTCCAATCAAACGCTACTCGAACAGCTTACGACGCTCGCTATCTCGTAGTGTGTCTAAGCAGATGCCAAGGGAGGAGCCGAAGAGTCCGTTGCATGGAGTCACGCGTCAGCTCTTCATACCTGACGAGCCGCCGTCGCCTGGCCTACTGAATGGGCAAACCAACTCGACAACCCAACGAAATGGGAGCTATGCTTCAACGTACTCAACTAATACGACTATTGTTACACCTTGGCCTCGTGTGGACACACAACGCAAATCATCTGAGCAAAGCGTCTACGATTCAGTCCGCATATCCAATTCATTCAGCCCTTCGAATGAGACACAGACTCTGCAAGCATATACAAAAACCAATGGACCAGAGTCATTGCCTGAGGGTCAGATCACTGCCCTTCTGCATCCTTTGCATCGAAGTAGGAGCATGCAACGTGAGCAGCAAGATGCACACACCCCAGCTAGCGACCAAAACTCACATGCGGAGTTACATATTCCAAGCAATAACGGTAGCGAGGGGGAGAAAAATCCATCGCTGGCGAACTTAGAAGCAGTCAGAAAAAAAACTGGTCGGACCCTAGAGACGAAGCGGCCCGCAAAACCACCAACCCGCTTGCCTGGACCAATCAAACCTGCTCCATATACTGGCCATTTGCGGGTCGCTTCAGAAAACAATAACCGTACCGTACTGCCCAAGTCCCCTGGGGGACCCGATACAGGCTTTCCAAAGCCAGTCGCGTGGCCAGGTACCTCCCCAACCAATACATCAGTATTGTCCTGCATAAACAACGAGGACAACTTTGCGCCGCCTGTCCCAACGAAAAGCCCTATGCGAGGGGGCAATACACGAGGCTATACTGGCATTCCCCAGTCACAACAGAGGATATGTTTTGGGCCCGATCGTGACTTGACCCGCATAGTGTCGAAAGAAAACATTCGTGCTGCACTTGGCGGACACTCAAGGGACAACTCAGAAGAAGGTGCTTTGCCACCGCCATCCAGACCAATGCGCAGCGACCAGGATGCAGTGACCACTTCGGGGGTTGCTGTGCTGCAAACGTTCAACACACACATGTTCCCGCGCAAGGCAAATCGAAAGGGTACCCCGGTGGGAGCATGGGTCGGTGCACGGAAAAGCAGAAACACAACTGGCGAGCCTCACTAGTTGGATGTTTTCTAGGGGAAAATGAAGACTAAGGAGAATCAGGTACGGCGACGAGAGTAATGTGTAATGTTCGGGACGGGGGGCTTGTCAGTGCTCCCATATCCCAGATGATCACGGCAGCGCCTGAACAAGCAACTTGACCGCCATTGTGAAGAAATTCTCACTGGTGCAGATCGAATGTGTTTGTCATTCTGTATCTCTGCGAACACTGTATCAACGAGTCTGAAGTCATTCGTTTCATGGTCGCTGTTGATACTGGGGCGAAGGGGTACTATCGGGAATGGAGTGAATGGAATGCAAAGGCGATGTATTTTATGAATAATGAATTACGTTTGCAATATAGCGTGTTGCCAAATGTCATGTGAGGATTGTAACCACTGAGAAGGAGGTGTGGTGGTGGTGGCGCCCCACAAGAAAATGTCACGCTAGCCTCACCCTGGTGATAACATTGCCGAACGTCATCAACTATCACTTGATGTAGCCTGATATTGCCGACAGAATAAGCAAGAGAGTCATTCCCACGCGCACAAAAACACACCGAAAACTTACTCTAAATTAAGGGTTAAATTACAATTGTTGCGTATGCTTACACTAAATATTTCGACCAGCCCGAGCCATGTCCTTGAACAACCCTGGTAAATGACCATCGCAATGCAAACTGAGGGACCTCATCAACACCTCAACAGGAGAGGGTGGTCTCCATGCTCCACACCCTACCAACTAGAAGAAGTAACGTTTATGCTAATGGGGTGTCTACCGAATACCTAAAAAAAAAGCACATCCAGGTACCAGGAATCAACACTCTCTACACCCAAGTCGCCATCCCTACGGGAACCTGAATATACATCGTAGAATTCCTACATGATTGGCGATTCTCGAAGGGGAATCACATGCATCATGGACTCACTGCACTCATCCCATTGGACCGAACGAGAGCGAAGAACAGGGAACCGGGCTAGAGCGTTTGAGATGTCAAAGTCGACCAAAGGAAAGACACCAGCATGCGTAAGCTGGACACGTCAGACGAAGAAACATTGTAGGGGTCATATGATGCCCGATTTTATGGAATTACAAGCCTCAACATCGCTTAGATGTTCGATGTGTAGACCCACCGTCAATATGTCACCCCTTTACGCGTTGAGAATCTAGAAGTCAACGAACACTAGTTTCGACATGTATTCATCACGTATGTGGCGTGCATGAAACATAGAGTTCTGTCTAATAATGACGTGCAGCCGTTATCTAAGACACAAACGCGGAGACCTTCCACGACTACCCAATGTCTCGGTATGCGACGAAGCTGATCTTCGGTACTCCGTTGCGGCTGGACTTTGTACGGTACGTTAGTAGGTAAGGGTACCGGACATCAAACGCACGGAGTTCCGAGGGTGATACACCCAGGCATCTCTCCAGCCTTCGCGATCGTGAGACAGAAAACCAATTCCACGTGTCAGCACCATGAATAAAAAAACAAAATAATTGCGATTCTCGTTCGAAAGGGATAAGAACAACAGTCAATTTACAGCCGTGTTTGCAAAGTACAAGCCACGCCTCGCACGCATCGGGAGTGGGGGGCGGTTTTGCTATACCTCATTCGGTTACCTGCAGAATGCATTACACTCATTGATCCCAGAGTGACCTACCTTGCGTCGCACGTATTGTCCATATTTTGCCTCCTTGTGGCTTGGATACATCTGCAGCTGCAGCGTCCAGGCCTGCGAGAAATTGAGCGGGGCAAAACGGCCGAATTCATCTCGAGCAGTATTTGGATGAACCAAACCCCCTCCCGAGACAAAATTACGCTACCAATCGAAGCATCAGCAGCGCAAACATGGGCGGTTATTTTTCTTCACAGCGCGAACACGGACCCAAGAGCGATACAAGACATACGACTGAGACCGGACCGTTTTGTGTGGTTTGTGGTGGGCCGTTTGATGTTGAAGGCGAGGTTTACAATATCGATCCCAAAGACCCGCAGTTCCAAGTACGGTGTTTCTCCTCTCTAGAAATATTTCCTTTTTGGGTTACAAACTGATAAAAATCAAGTGGCTATATCATCTTCGTCTTATTGGTAATGTTGACGATGTATACCACCATGTGGTAGCTAGTGATGGACACTCGTGAGTACTCAAGCTCCCCTGTTGTGCAACTTCGCTAAATTATCAGAAGACCCATCAACACCTCTGATCAGCCCGAAATCTTTGTCTCCGGGCCTGCTCGTTTTAGTCTTACTGGATCTGGATTTTACCACGTTGCTGGATATGAAGGGCAAAACGATATCTGGGTCGACGCCCTCTCACACATTCCCGGCCATGGTACCCTGTTCCCCTTGCACGATTGTTGCCTGGATACAAGCTGTAGAGCTATAGAGTATCACCAGTCTAAACAAGAAGAGTGCGATGACAAAACAGCTCTCGAAGTATTAGTTCAACTGCTCAACAGTCGCTTCACTGAACGACAGATCCACGACGGGTCGCTTCGGTCAATCAATGATCTATTCGATCTGTCTTCTCAATGCAGCGTCTATGGACCTAGAAGCGTACTGGCTCTGACGAAATTGGAGTGGTGGGGAGGCGGTTACGACGTAAGTCTCAACAACCTTCAATCTAGAACGCAAACCTAACACTACGCAAGCGTTTCTTCACCAATCCCATCGAGGAAGTCGATACCACCGCTTTTGTGCAAAGTATTCTACAGAGCTCGCCACGCACCAGAGATGAACCTAAATTTACCGAAATACCAGCTCGCAGGCATCAGAACTTGGAGCGTCTCCCAAAAGAACTCCTAGATGAGGTTTGCAGCTACCTGCCAATCCCATCAACTATAGCGCTTCACCGAACTTCCAAGATACTCACGTTACAGATCCCGCTTGACTCCACCTTCTGGCGCAACAGTCTTGGTGATGGAAGCTTGCATCCACATATCTGGGACCTGGACACGAAGCGCATCGACCAGCAGTTGCCACAACCTGACATAGCACCTCTGGATCCTACCGCTTCTTGGGACTGGAGGTGCGCAGCCAAAATCCTTGCAATGAAGCGCTTTCCTGTCAGTGGGCGTGACGACCGCTTGGTCGATGTGCCCGCTGGCTTCTGGAATCGATGTAGGATATGGGCTACTATCGAGGAAGTGCTTCAGCAACACGTCTTGGAGTGAGCAACTGCCTGAGTTCCGATGATAGAATTCAGAATGCCGTATGTCATGAGATCCGCATCTCTACAAGATTCTTTGTCTATATTTCTAGGTGCATCCAGCCTGGTGTTCGCACCTCTTGACGCCGCCATCCCACAACCACCTTCACACTCTTTCTGCGTACATATACCCACACGCCCTCACGGCTCCGCCATAACCGCGACAAACTTCTCCCAACTATCATCAAACTTCTCATAGAACTCTGAAGTCGCACTCGTCACAAAGAGATACGCCGCCTTCTTCCGCAACGCCCTCGTAAGCCCCTCAACCTGATCCTCTGGCACCGAATGCACCATGTACGCCGCGCGCTCACGCCCATACGGCGACGTCGCAAGCCACTCCTGATACTCCTTGCTCGCAAAATGCGCATACGACGTCTCCACCACAACCGTAACATCCGGCCCAGGCGCTGCCAACCCTTTATTCACCGCCGTCCCCGGATTATGAATAACCTGTATTCCTCCATCAGCTCCTGCTACATAGAAAAAAAGGAATAAACATACCAAGCCCTCGGTACCAAACGCATCTTCCCGCTTCACCCGCTCATCAATGCCATCAAGATACCTTTTCATCTCCTTGGAATACAAATTCACAGTCTCATCCACAAACACGCCTTGCATCTTCATCCGCGCATCCGCGCGCCCCCGCTCCGCATACGTACAGACATCGCTGCAGATATCGCCGTGCGCCCGCTCGCAATACGTCGCGCGAACGTAGCCCAACGTTGTCACATTGGGCAGCGCATTGAGCCGCGGGATCTCGCGTATGTAGTCGGCGTTGGGCCACCAGGGTGCGGTGCCCGGCCCGCTGTTTGGGTTGAGGATAATCAGGAAGTCGAGGTGCGGGTGTTTGGACAAGCTGTGTTGTTGTTATTATTATTATTAGCCGTTTTGGGTGACATCATTCGAGTACCCGTCGTCGAAAGTAAATAGCATAGTTATGGAAAGGTAGACAGGGAATAAGAGAAGGGGGGGGGGGTAATATACGCGGTGTAGAGCGGATCCCACGCTCCAGGGTTTGGATAGATGTACAAAGGAAGTAACACCTTTGATTGCATCTTCTGCGCTTCTTTCTTCTTTCTTCTAGACAGGAATGTTAGATTCATGAGGAATTTGGTCGCTGAAGGAGAAAACACGACAATAATAATAATAACAACAACGTTTGGTTTTAATTATCTTTGCCTTGTCGTCCTCTTTTGTTTTTTGTTGTTTTCTTACTTTTTTTCTGTTAAATAAAAAAGGACCCAATTATGTGCTTAGTAAGATTGGAGGGCGATGCCGAAAGGTCAAGGCACCTTACGTGTTGCGAACCTACGTGTCTGCGAGTTACGAGTCGTAGCTTGGGCCCTGTTCTCCGCTGCTATTTTGGGGGGGGGGGGGTTATTGGGGCTTGGCCTCTTAGCTTGCGGCGATGGACAACGTGCGGATTGGGGGGCTGGGGATCACGGTACGAGTTGGGAAGTTTAGTTGCGTGAGAAGTGGGACTGATTACGATATGGTATTGTGGTGATCATCTAGTGCTGAGTAGGAGCTGGTAGTTTACTAGGTATCCCTTGGCGGGAATACTGTTGAACAATAGCCTTGTACAGCTAGCTGCAGTGTTACATTTGCTTCACACTACCCCAGTCTCCGAGGATACCGAAGAGCACAGACACATGTTCACCATGACTTATAGTATTCTATGCGCTTCGGTGTTGGGTACACACTATCTACAAATCTATAGCAGACAACAACATATTGGTTAAAAGTTTAATCATGTGCCTTGTCCAGTAAGCTCTTCAATATTTTTGCTGTGCTCCTCATGCCCTGCAGCGCATTCTCATCGGGCCCTTGCCCGGGTGTCCATGAGGCGTGCGCAAAGTCAATCATCTTGACCTCTGCGAGCTTGGGCAGATTCTCATCCTCCTCCTCTTCGTCTTCTGGGTGCGCTGAGCGTAACTTCTGCTTCGTGTTGCCGTACTCTTCCACATCACCCTCGTATACGAGGAGTATACTTGCGCTGTACATCCTGCTTTCTTTGCTTTCAAACACTTCTTGAATATCCTTGACCTCACCCAGAAAGTACGCTAGCACTTCTCTCGCGCGGTCAAGCTCTGCTTCCGACTTGGCGCTAGGGTAGATGAACGATACAAAGCCCTCGTCCACATTCTCAGCGTTAAACTTGCGCCCATACATCTTGTTGTACACCCAGTATCCATTCTCCTTGTCAACCTCGACATACTCCTTCAAGTCGTCGGGGATCTCTGGTACGTCGGCGCCCTTGTAGGTGCGCATACCCGCTATCCTGAAGCCGAGACTACCGCTTGTAGTTTCCTTGCTCACAGCATCGAGGCGATCTCGCTTCTCTTGCTTCGAGTCATCATCCCATAACCTTGCGCCAAGCTTCAAGTCCAAAACATTTGGCTTCTTGAACCCATGCGTAATGTTCTCTAGCACAATGTGTAGATCTGTGTCGAGATGTTTTCCATGTAGGCGCTCGATGGATCCGTCGGCCGTTTTGATGGTGCCGCTTTCGACGCTTTCTACGGCGGCAGTCTGGTCGGTGGAGAGGGAGAGCTGGCCCATAAAGGTGGGCAGATGGCGCGCAAGATCGGGATGGTCGGAGAGGGATTCATAGAAGGTAATCTCGGAAAGAGTACACGGCTTCACGACCACGGCACCGGATTCGTCGCTGAGTACGCCTTCGCTGAAGTTTGCGATTTAGTATGGCAGGCAAGGAACGGCTGAACAGTAGGCAGCCGCCTTGGGGTCACACGTACTGGCCCGCAGCGGCACTGTTGTACGCTTTTAGCTTGGACGCGTCATATTTCTTGGTCGCCATGATGCTGGGTAGGTGAAGAGTTCTTGGTCTCAAGATCTTAGGCTCGGCAGGTTAGGGTTGGGACTGGAGTGCAAGATGCACGAAGCTGTTGTGGGGAGATACCAGACCCCACTGTCAGGTGGGTTACAGGCAACGAGCGAGTCGGGACATGGCTGTCTGAAGGATTGCATGACTCGCAATGCAACACCATGAAGTCATCATCATTAGTAGCTGGTGCTGCTGTATCTACTGAGCAAACTTACGTGCCTCGCAGTCAACAATCGTCAGGGGAAACACATTGCTATGGTGTTCTCACCAGATAGCTGTGTTTTTTACATCATGTGACGAATGTGAGGGTGAAAGCGCAATCATTCTGGAAGCGATATGATTGCGCGCCTGCCGTTCTTGCGCCAGTGCTCTCACTTTTGTAGTTTGCAAACGCAATAGTTTCACCACTGCTGCCTGTGATAATATCTCTCTCTCCATCTTTAATATCAAAGGGTTCCGTCACTTCCCATCTCCATCTCCTACCTCTCGAGTACTCTCTCCGTCTCAGTGGCTGGCAATCATATTGACTGTAGACATGGCAACAGCAGTGACTTCACCCACGGAAGATATTGGGTCTTCCAATGAAGATTCTCAAAGTACAATTCCAAATCCAACCTCTAGTAGCACCGTTCAGGATCATCCTGATGGTGACGATATCCGTCGTCAAGTATGGTTTCCCACCCCTGCCTCTAATGAGTCCTACGGCATACTGACTATCTTCAAGGTAGAATACTACTTCTCTGATGAGAACCTTCCCACAGACAAGCATTTGTTGCAATTCTGCGGCGGGCGTGAGAACCTTCCCGTTTCCATCAGTCGCATCTGCGGGTTTTCGAGGATGCGACAGTACAAGCCCAAAAGTCTCGTCATTGCAGCACTGCGTCTAAGCACCTTCCTTGAAGTTTCTGCTGATGGAAAAACTATCAAGCGCAAGATCCCTTTGCAGGGAAAATGCCTCCTTGACCCAGACTTCTTCGACGACGAAGACATCGCTTACGATCCGCGTGTTCAGAAGCCGGCTCCGCGTCCGATGCCGATCGTTCAGGTGAAGAAAGACGCGCACCTGGAAAGGGTGTCAAAGAACATGCGAAAGCCAACAGGGTTCGAAAGAACCTATATGGAGCCACTTCTCACCCCCGAGGAGGCATCACAAGAAGATGATATGTACGCTTCCGACAAGCACTTCGTTGAACGTATCGAGGTCGCCATCCAGCGCTTCAAGCACAAGCGGCGCATGCACGAGATGTACGCACACGTCTTTAATAAGTTTATGCGCTTTGGTGGTGTAGATGCCGGCCCGCGCATGTACCAAGGCCTATCGAAGCAGGAAATGAATGAGATGGATGCCGAAGAGCTCGCCAGAGCACTTGCCACTCACCACGTACCATGGGACCGCTCTGATGAGACTCAGTGGGTGGTTGATTTTGCCGGTGTCTGCAAAGGCTTCCTGTAAGTCTACTTTGTCCAACGCTTACAAAAGGATTCTAAAGACAACAGTTCATCCTGGTATCCTGCCCACTACGGCTACGCTCCTCACCTGATTAAAAATGCCTGCCAAGTCCTTCGCTCTTTCTTCAGATATCTTCGATATCATAGAGTCTGCCCTGAGTACGACGATCAGCTCGCTGCTGCACTCGACATTTGTGACGCCGCTGAGGAGCAGCTCCCCAAGGCTAATGCTGTAGGCCTTGCCTTGACAGGAGACTTTAACAAGTCTGCCAGCGTCATCTTTGGCGGTGCTCAAGCTTCCCTTTACACCGGTAACAAGAGTTGGGCCGAGGGGTTGAGAGAGGAGGGTGTGAACAATAAAGAGATTGGTATTTCTGAGGAAGAGGCCAAGGCCAAGTTTGGCATTGGAATTGCCATCCTGGGTTCGGAAGAGCAATTCGGGCTGTACGAGTCGTCCAAGTTGGAGGTCCTCAGCAAGAAGTCGACCTACCTCGAAGTAATCACCATCCACCCGCCCAACGACGACACTAAAGCAGCTTACGACGCGCAGAGCACGCTCTACGGGCGCAAACTGGAACTTCAACCTCTCGGGAAACTTACCTGCAAGACGTGGTACCCCACCGGATGCGACGAGTATGACCTACCGATGGACAAGTACCCTAATGGCAAGCCCTGGACAAGTAGCGACAGCCAAGAGTACGAGTTTTGGATTGAAGAGGATATTCTTAGGGATTGCTTCATCGGCATGAAGATGGACGCTGACATTCTAGTGCTATCGGGTGGCCTGAATATCCTGGACAATGTCAAGGAAACCATGTGCAGCTTCTACGTGTGGCTGCCGAATGAATTGTGGATGGAGCGAAAGCCGAAGGAGGTGCGGTGGCTCAAGAAGGGCATGGGTCTTGACGAAGACGACGAACCAAACGACGATAATGACGACAAAGAGGCGAAGCAAGTTGCAGACAAAGGACCTTCGGATGATGAGTGAGTTTGAATTGGAGGGTGCGCTATAGAGTTCCGTCGCAGCGGGTGGTGAAACAATAGCTTTTTGAGGAGCCGGCGTGGGTCTAATGTCACTTCTTGACTATACACCTACACACACCCCATCTTAGGCCTAATTAGTACTACCATACTGGATGCGATGGCTAATATGGAAAAGGGAGATTGTCATGGACACCGCTGTACAGGTATTTTAATCAGATTCCGGCCATATTCCGAGTGATGCAGATAATGAAGATTGATCAAAGAGGTCAGCAAGACCCTTGTTGTTGAGCGTTTTGGCATCGCAAATCTCAAGTGTCCGGAAAGGCGCAGGAAGTATCACTAGCACCAAAGACGGTCTGTTGACCTCTTGTCACAAGGATGCACCTTTGGGTCGGGGTTTGAGAGCATTACTTTGGTGATAGGGCTGCGCCACGCTTGTGCGCCTCAGTTTCATCCCTACTTTGTCGTGTGCATGGTGCTTCAGCAGCAGAGGGACCGTACTGCGACACGAAAGCCCATGACTGAAACCGGCCAGTCGCGCACGATATCACGCTTCGTGGAGGCCTCTGGCCAAGAGTTCCGTCTGATGCGTCCACGGTGGGCCAAGATGGGCGGGCGCACAAGAAAGCGCGCAAAAGACTGCCTATGGCAGGGCCTTTGTCGGGCGCCACGTATGCAGATGAGCGCTGAGAGCAGTCCAAGGCGGATGGAGGCCCTTGGCAGTTAGCAATGCCATGTCCTGACCGTCGTTTGCCAAGCGGGCGCTGTGTCTCCAAGCACCAAAGCGCGACATGTGTTTGGTTACCCGCCGGCTCAGCAACACGTCTCGGTATTACGCTTGCTGACCTTGGGGCCCCCCCTTCTTCTATCCTCGTTTTGTGCCATTTGCTAGCTCCCGCTCCTTGTGAGGAGAATTAAAAGAGAAAATGAGGACAGTCAGCACTTAGCCTTGTATAGGATGGGAGGGGCTTGCCATTTACCCGCGACAAGGCAACGTATGTCATTGCCCTCAACCTTCAACCCCTTGGCTTGCCGGGGTGGATGGGAATGAGTTCAGACGAAGGAAAATCCCATGGCGCGAATCCAAGATTAGACGAAGGTGGGAAGCCAAGCAAAAGACGTCAGATCCGAGTTATCCGTCTGCGCCCGCCTGCGCCCGTCTCGCATCAAGGACGCGCACAAGGCTGTCCCGGTCACGGCGGCGTGACAAACGACGAGCGGAGGGAAGCTTGGGCACAAGGCCTGCCAAGTGCTTGAGTGCTCTTAGCAAGCGGAGAATGTGTGCACTGGTAAAACCTAAGGGCAGCCCACTACCGCGCTGGTTCCCCGTCTTTGTATTATTCTTTTTTGGTGTTCTTCATTCAAATCTCCGCAACGGCGTCCTTCCATCCCGCTGCTCCTCGTTCTCGAATTATACTATGCGGTCCTTTTTGCTGGCTGCCGACCACCTGTTCTAGACGCTAAATAACGCCTTTGCTGCTGGCCCAACTTGCTCCACACATAACCCAAGCCAGTTCCCTTTTTTTACGCGGTAAACCCAAAACCCCCCGAACCCAGGCGACAAATGCTTCTTGCATGCTGCTTGCACGAGCGACCAGTCCAGGCACAAACTCCGCTCCCGTAGGTTGAGCCGGAGAAGAAAGAAAGCAAAACTGTAAAACTTTCCTTTCCGACCTCGAGCAAGCGCGCGCGCGTGTGTGTGGCTTGCCAAATAGGGCGCTGTGGAGACGCAGAAGCGGGAGATTTCGTGCTAGGATGATGGGCGCCTTGCTAGATGCGCGGGCAACCGAGTTTCCCAAACGGGATCAATTTGGTACGTTGAACCATGGCTTTTCTTCACTACTACTCAAGCGCCACAACATCAGACCATTTTTTTCCCTTGACAATCAGACCATTATACTATATTATACTAGCATTTTAACATTATACCCCCGCTTGATATGACTAGCGCTACTATTCCTACTATTTTTTTTTCTTCTTCTGGAAATGCGACAACCTAGCTAACATGACTAGCAGGCCATAGGATCCTAAACCCGTACATTTACGACCCGTCATGCGTGCTAGCTATTGTCGGCACAACCATCATCGTCCTGCTGTCCATCTACTCAGTAACCCAGTACCTGCGGCACCGGTCATGGTTCTTCTGGGCCGCCATCATCGGCATCCTGATGCTGGACCTCGGTTTCATATGCCGCACCGTGTCGTCGTACGATGAGGGCAAAGAGTCTCCCTTCCTCGTCTCATGGCTCATGATCCTGCTGGCCCCCAGCTTCCTCGCCGCAGCCTGCTACATGTCGTTTGGCCGCGTCATCTGGTTCAGCTGTCCAACCGAGGCACTCAACTTCAAGACGCTGTGGTGCTGGCCCGAATGGATCACCCCGACCTTCGTCGCCTTCGACATGTTTTCATTCCTCATCCAGCTCATCGGCGCATCCCAGATAAGCAGGCACTACGACAGAGCCCCCGACGGCGACCGCACCATTAGCATATCCGAGCAAGCCGCACTACCAGGCCGCATCATCCTCGTCCTCGGCCTCGTACTCCAGATGCTATGCTTCGCCACCTTCTCAGTCGTCTCCATCCGCTACTTCTACATGTCAAGAAAGTGGTCAGCCTACGACCTCGGCGACATGCACCTCTGGCGCAAACTCTCCTACACCATCAACCTCTCCTCCATCCTCATCGCCCTGCGCGCCGTCTACCGCACCATGGAAATCCCCCACGACCGCAACTACGGCCTGCGCTACCTGCAGAGCCACGAATGGTGCTTCTGGACCTTTGACGCTGCACCCATAGTCCTTGTTTTACTCATCTTTGCTATATGGCACCCCGGTCGCTATCTGCCGCGGTCCTACACGGGACTCAGGCTCGACAAGGTCAGGGCTGTCAAGGAGAAGGATGAAATTTCAATGTATAGTGCGAGTACGTGTGGGCAGGATACTGAACTCAAGGAGTATAAGCCCGAGGACTTTCGCCATGTTAGTGTTGCGGCAAAAGCTTAGAATGTGGGTTTTTGAGTTTAGAATTACAAATGATGGATATGCAAATGGACGTTTAAATCATATGATACCAAACGCATTACGCGAAATGGCGTTTTTTTATTTCTTAATTTTGTGGTTTTTCTTTGAGAGTTCGTTTGCGATGATACCATAGTTGAATGTTCTATTCATGCTGTCTTCCAACTGGCTTTGCTTGTCTTGATGTGATATTGAACTTTGGCTTTGGTTGCAGGATCTTCGCCGCCGTTACTGACCTCAGCTTGGCTTCGGAGCCCTGTCTACCCGTCCAAGCGGATTAAAGCCTCATCTCGAGCATCTTCCTTGTAGTTGTATCTACCTCGAACTGTTTGGACTAGCGTTGGCATCGTATGTTCGACTGCATTCGTGTAACCTTCTCTGTACGACAAAAAGACGTTTTTGGAAGGTCGGATATCAGGATCTTTCTCAATTCTGCTCATCTCTAATCTTCATATATCCTGCTGATAGTGGATCCTGAATTTCTTATTGGCGCGGTCCGCCGCTCGTGTTTGAAATTGCTCAGCGTTGATGTCAAAAGTTAGTGGTTTCTTGGGTGGCTCTCCTTCCTTAGACAGCAGTGGCACTTCAAACCGGAAGATGGTGTGTTCCTTGGGTACAGCTAGAATCGTCAGATTACTTACCCCACTTACCTATTCGGTGCCTACAAACTTACATTTGATAACGTTGTTCTTGGTTATGAGGTCAAAGGTAAATCGAGTGTCACGTACGACTATGCCTTCCAACCCAACACGACTCACACACCGACTCCTCACCACTGTCATCAGCGCACCGTGCATATCGGCGGTCGCTAGAATCTGGCCGCTTGCATTTGGAGTGATCATGACGCCCTTTGATGCATCATTCACGCCCAGCACTTCCCTCATGTACCCTACCCAGAGATTATGTAGTCCCTCGTAGATAGCATACTTTTGCTGCTCCTTTGGAATCTCATTGAGGCCCAGCGCCCGCTTTTTTGCGGCGGAGAGTGGACGAGGCTTATTTTTGCTGCGCTTCCTAGCGGCTTCTTTGCGCTCGTTGAGGGCTTGACGGCGAATGGCGCGCGCTGATGGAGTCGGGGATGTGGCGCGTACGTACAGAGGGCGCTGAACAACGCGTTCCTGGTAATGCGACTCTGCATTCGATGGAGAAAAGGCGCGATGAAGCAGGGTTTGAGCAATGTGCGGGTTGGAGTTAGCCATTTGCACACGAAATACTGCAAGCAGGTATGTGTTTTTGCTGGCTTGTTGCGAAAGCTGCAATAGCTTCGCCGATCAACTGGCAGGTTGATTTGCAGTGATGTCCGGCGAGACCTTTCCAGAATATGAACCAGGACAACTTCAAGATATTGTATACCGTGGAAAACACAAGCTACACAGCGGAGTCGGACGCTTGATTGCGGGACAAATTTGGCGGCGCTCAAGATGACGATGGGGTTCGCAGAGGAAAGACGGCCGCACTAGTGCGAAAGCGTGCTAGGCCTATGGCTCGGCTATCGTTTTTCCGCCCTCACACATTCTCGGCCTTCACACACGTCAAAATCGACCTCAGCTTCGACAACACCGCTAACCCGCAGCAACCGTCAAGATGAAGTACATGTACGTCTACCCCTGGATTCCGACGCAAAAATCGCTGCACCACACGGTTTTCTCCACCTCCGAACCGTTCATGGACGCCTCCATCTCGAATTCCACGATCGCAAAACACCAAATCCCTGGAACTTATGCTGACAAGTGCGCAACAGCCACTCCGAGGAAGAGCTCCCCATCCCTGAGGGCGTCAAGGTCAGCATCAAGAACCGAAATGTCGTTGTTGAGGGTGAGTGCGCAATTGGACATGGAAATGCCAGCATTGTACTAATTACATTGAATAGGTCCCCGAGTAAGCCAAGCGCAACTACACATCCTCGACGATCCGTTTCTTACACAATGCAGGGCAAGCTGAGCAAGTCTCTCGGTCACTTGGCGGTCAGCTTCACACACGTACGTTTGAGATTCAGGAATTGATATCAATGGGATGTACTAAGTCTGGCACAGCCCAAGAAGGATCTGATTAAGATCGAGCTCCACCACGGCATCCGCAAGAGTGTCGCCACTCTCCGCACCGTCCGCACACTCATCGTACGTCAAACGCACCGAAAGAGTCGAACCACCGGCAGAGGAAGGACTGGGCTGACTGGAAGCAGAACAACTTGATCATCGGTGTCACCAAGGGTTACAAGTACAAGATGCGATACGTATATGCCCAGTATGTTACCACCGGAATCTCCTTGTCGCCATCTCGAAACCAAAGTCTGGTCCAATGCGGGTTGCCAAGTACTTCGTCAGAACAGGTCGAAGCAGGATGATTGTTACTGGTGTATTCGAAGTGCTGGACAACGCAAATTGGACCAGGCTCACGGCGAATGTCGCACACATGGAATTTGGCTAACATCTCACTTAGTTTTCCCATCAACGTCAACCTTGAGAAGAACAGCGAGTCCGGCTGCTGGGAGGTCGAGATCAGGAACTTCATCGGCGAGAAGCTCGTACGAAGGGTTATCCTGAGGCCCGGTGTCGAGGTTGAGGCTTCCAAGAACGTCAAGGACCAGCTTGAGCTATCCGGAAACGTAAGAACATGTTATTCTATATTCAAATCCAACATGCTAACAAGAACAGTCACTCGAGGACGTCTCCCAGGGTGCCGCTGATATCCAACAAATCTGCAAGGTCCGCAACAAGGATATCCGAAAGTTCTTGGACGGTCTGTACGTGTCGGAGCGCGGCAACATTGTCGAGGACGCGTAAAAGGTTCTGGGGAGTACGGGTTTCTTTACGGGCACATGAGCATCTATGAACTTCTCTGCATCACATCACATGCGGTTGGCGCCTGGGGGTCTAAGCTCAAAAACGATGTTCAAACAATACCACCAATGACTTGATGGAAGAAGCATGCATTCACGATTTTGGTGATATGATGGGAAGTCAGCAATTTCCGTGTTTGTACAAGGGTCGGTGCTCGGGACTTACTTCTTTAGTACAGGACGATTGTGGTTGACGGCGAGAGCTTTTGTTAACATACAGAGCCAATGAAAGAACGCTTCCCATGTCCACCAAGTTAGCTTCACCTGCTGTGCATTGTACATCTGAGATTGCAGAGTCATCTTGATGGCACAACCTAAATAGGAAGGACAATTGGGCATGCATGTTGATCCTGTCGAGATAGCAGCATGTATGTCCGCGGATGTGACCTGCCACTCATGACGTACGTGTGCTGTAGCACTACGGCATATCGTGCCAACGCCCCGCACGCTTGCTATTCGCAATACTACAAAGTACAGCCACCGGCACAATGATGAGACTATCACCGCAAACTCCGAGGATTGACAGCTCATCAGCCGTAGGATAAGTAAGCATATGGGGAAGGGCAGAAGGGCAAAAGGGCAAATAAATTGGAGCCATTCCCTGCATATATGGACAGGGACTGATTAGAGTTTCGGCATTCGAATACCCATTCTCCCTATCAAAGCTCAAAGTAACACTAACAACCCCTCTAATAATTGAAAGACTCGAACCACTCGACAAATATGCCCGACAAGCTAGATGTGGAGGGTCTCCTCAAGGAGTCCAAGGCCGAGTATAGGCGCTTAGGGAAAAGTGGACTCAAGGTTTCGGTGCCTATTCTGGGTGCTATGAGTATTGGAAGCTCAAAATGGCAGCCATGGGTCATTGAGGAAGCAGAGGCGCTTCCGCTACTGAAGGCTGCTTACGATCGAGGTCTCACCACATGGGATACTGGTGAGGACAAGAAACAATAGGGAGTCTTGTAATGCTTGCTGATTCTGTCAAAGCCAATGTCTACTCAAACGGAGTTTCCGAGGAAATCATCGGCAAGGCCATCAAGCAGTACCAACTCCCTCGTGAGAAGCTTGTCATTCTCACAAAGTGCTTTGGAGTCGTAGGCGAAGACCCTGGTCTTCGTACTATACAATACGGCAAGGAAATGCCACAGCTGAAAGACTATGTCAACCAAAGTGGACTTTCGCGTCAAGCAATCTTCAACGCCGTCAATGCTTCGCTCAGGCGGCTTGACGTGGACTACATTGACCTTTTGCAAATCCATCGCTTTGATCCCAACACGCCCCTCGAGGAGACCATGGAAGCACTGCACGACTTGGTGAAGAGCGGCAAGGTGCGGTACATTGGTGCCAGCTCGATGTGGGCGGTACAGTTTGCTCAGATGCAGTTTGTGGCTGAGAAGAACGGATGGACAAAGTTCATCAGCATGCAAAACCACTACAACCTACTCTATCGCGAAGAGGAGCGTGAGATGAACCGCTTCTGCAACGACACTGGAGTCGGTCTTATTCCGGTACGTGTTGCTGTTTGCTACATGGCTGTCAGACATTGCTAACATTGCTTTCTAGTGGGCACCACTTTGCCGTGGCCATCTTGCTCGTCCTCCATCAGCCTTTGGGTCGACCACACGTTCAGAAGGCGAGCAAAAGGCCGGCAACCAGACTTCAGGCAACACGGATCTCGACAAAAAGATCATCGGACGTGTCGAGGAGATTGCCAAAAAGCACGAGTGGAAGATGAGCCATGTTGCGCTGGCGTGGATCAACAAGCGCGTTGCAAGCCCAATCATTGGCTTCTCTAGTGTAGAACGGATGGACGAAGCACTGGCAGCGCGAGGCAAGGAATTGAGCGAGGAAGAAGAGAAGTATCTCGAGGAGCTGTATGAGCCTGTGCGTATCGTAGGACACTCGTAGATTGGTGGCGCGACCATGTCACATTTTGAATCAAACTCACGGCATAGTGTAATGACATGCTGATTGTGCACCTCGACGCAGACTATAGTGGCTTGCATCGACCTAAGTGGATCAATCAGAGCACTCGGTCCGTATTAGGGCCCGGAGCTGAGAGGATGCGTGTCGATGCGGGCTTTGTCAACCCATGGCACGACCAATGACGTCGGTCGCGTGATGCATCTCACCACCGTACCTGAGCGAGCCGCGCGCATCAAACAGCCGCAACACCGCAAAACATCGGGAGACGGAGCAAAGAAACATGTTGATTTGCGTAGTTGCTGTTGAGGCTCAATTGCTTAGCTTCCGCGTTGCCCTCTGGTGGCACGCCATGATGGCCATGATGGCCGGGCCACGCACGCTCACACCAATGGTGGTGGTTCCTTCCCCGCATTCTGGGCGATGCTCGCCCTTCCCCGCATTGGTCCGACCATTCACATCTCAATCCGATTGGGTTGAGCCCTTGATGTGGTGATCAATCAAGTGACCGTCGCCTGTGCCTTCCTGCCGGCTACAGATTGGAAACCCCTCATAAAGCTGCGCCCTTTCCTCCGCTCTCTTCTCCCTCACTCTTCCTCTCTCTCACATCCCTCCAGCCCCTGACAGCCAGCCAGCCAGCCAGCCTCTATACAGCTCAACAGAGCTCTCTTTCATCACTCCTCATCATCTACTCTTTCCATAGCTTCCGCTAGCCCCAGCTTACTCCTGCAATACCACTACCATGGCAGCAGAGACAGAAAACATCCTCCAGAAGGTCGACTCTCTCACCGAGGAGCACAAGGATGGCGCCGCCAAGAAGGGCCACCGCAGAGTCAGCTCTATGGCTGCTGACGTCTACCGCATTGAAGACCTAGGTATGTGCTCCCCTGATACGGCTACCCTGCGGGGGTGCTGAATGAGGGGCAAGTTGTGCTGACCTGGCCATAGAGAAGGAGGGCAAGCACATTGACATCTCAATTGAGACACAGAAGCTCAACTGGTAAGACAACCTCATCCCATTGCTCTCTCGGAGCCGTTCGGCACTGTTGTCGTCTGGTCCGCCATGGTCCGGATAGCTGTGCCTGGCTTTCTTTGTCTGAACCCGCGCTAACAGATGGCTCTCCAGGAAGCTGAACAAGTCACCCACCACTGTTGAGGACCCATCAGTACTGAAGCTGCCACTCACCGAGCCCAAGCTCAAGTCTATCACCCTACACTTCCCGCTTGGCCTAGAGGTCGTCGCACGGAACATGAAGGGTGTCACCATCAAGGACGCATTAGATGCCATCCACAAGCAGTTCAAGAAGCGCGTAAGTACACACATTTTGTTGCCGCCATGACGATCAAGTCTGCTTTGATGATGGTGCCATCACCCATGTTTCTTTTTCTTGAGTATAGCTGACACCTCCTTCAGGCAGATGACGAGTTCGAGAAGCCCTACCTCATGGGATTTGAGTGGGACCCATCAGAGTGCTACACGCGCTTCATCGTCCACCAGTCGGCCAACCCTACCGCCCCCAACGCCTTCGCTTCTGGTGGAAAGAAGAAGAAGGCCAAGAAGGCCGAGGGCGAGGAGGGTTCCTAGGTGAATGACTCGCCCCCTTCCCAATCTTCGAATTTTACATACAGACCTCAGTCATACTGCCATGCTTGGGCATCGGTTGGTGCGGGGTATGGGCATATGCATTTGGGTGCTGGTCAATCTTGATATCGATATGGGAAGAGCGAGTGCATCTACCGCGATGCCGCGTCCGCTATACTATACACCTGGGTAGCTGGGGAGTTTAGCGGGCGCGGCTGTCGTCGGGAGCAATGCGTCGTGGAACCGTTCGCAAGGTGTGTGCCCGATGGAAGGGCCACACCGTATTATGTAGGCCTTCGGGCATGTGTTTGGGCTGCTGGAAAGCGCCTGAAGCAATGGGAAGAGGTTAATATGGTACTTTTGTGTGTGATTGTTGTTGTGATGTCGTCGATAGCACTTGAGCCCGACTGGGCCAAGAGATCCACTGCGGGCAGGCGGTCCACGCGGTAAGCGAAGGGCACGATGCCAGCGTCGGCGGCCTGAATTGCCCTCCAAATGCCTGATTTGCCCCTCAAACCCATCTCAGCTAGTCACATGCACAACGATTACTACGGAAACCTACAATGGTCGCTTTCTCCCACCTCGAATCAGGTAGCTCGCCGCCGCCTTGCATTGGTAGCGCCATCACAAGCCCTTGTGTTTCACTTCCTTTAGACTGTTGTCGTCCGACACCGTATTTTGCCCATCACTGACTTTGCTTTTCTTCTGTCTCTCCCCGCCCCCTTGTATTCGACGCTCAGCTTGAATGATTGCGCCACTTCCTACATCTCGACCCACAATGTGCACCAGATAGCCCGAATAGCTCCAACCTTGTCAACCTTTACATTACTACAGCTGTGCCATTTATCGCTCATACTGAACATCTCTTTTACGACATTTTATGCCCACCCGTTTCCAAAACAACACCAACAACAATCACAATGTTTTCCAACCTTCAAATGCGGCCTGCCAAACCCGAACGTCGGAAGCCTAATTTAACCATCCGAGCCGGTGTCTCAAAGCGCCGAGTGTCATACGTTTCCGCCTTGAGCGCAAGCAGGGTACCGTCGCTGAGCTTCATGGAGGGTTTGTTTGGCGACGAATTTCCCGAAGCTTTTGGTAGCGGTGAAGGAACATCGGCAAAAAGCCGGAAAACTATTTTGGACCTACCAGCTGAGCTGCTTGATTTGGTGTGCGCACACATCTCAAAATCGGACATCAAGCATTTGCGACTTGCTAGTAAGCAGCTAGCTAACAGCGTCTACCTGCGCATCGACCGTGTCTATGTTTCGCCAAATCGAGCCAATATCGACTATCTCTACCAGATCCTGTCTCACCCCAGGTATAAATATCGTGTCCACGAGATTGTCTGGGATGATACACGCCTCGAAGAGTATTCGACGCTAAGCAGTTTCCGCGATGCGATCCTATTTGATGAAAGAGAGTTTACGAGATCGATTGAGAGCCGACTAGAGGAAGCCATATGGATCTACGGTGATGATAATCCTGAATACCATGCACTCGAGCACGACGACCTTTTCGAGAGCAATGGACGGTTGACTGAGATGGCGAAAGAAATCCTGTTGCGGTACGATGATCAATTTTCAAGAGAGGTCCTTGCTCGGAATGCAACCATGATGGACATTGAAGATAGCTACTCGCTGTACCAAGATTTGTATCGGGAGGAACAAGCGATCATGGACCAAGAAGCAGACATCAATGCACTCGAGCAAGCCTTGATGGGGTTTACAGCGCTCAGAAGAGTCAGATATACAACTGAAATCTGGCGCTCGTGTACCTTTCCTCACCCGTACAAGACGCCATTTCATCGATCGTTACCCGTGGGATTTCGCAAACCACAAATCAGACATGTGTGCCGTGACCAGATCCGCACAACCGAAGCCCATGACAGTCCTATGAAGACGACTGTCCACAGCAGCCAACTATCAGCGAACTCTGGGGGTTATTCCAGCCTGGTCTCTGCTATACTCGACATGCCAAACCCAGGCATTGAGGAATTCGTTGTCGAGACGGAAAACGAATCCATGATCCCCCACAA